TCTTAATTTCTCACTGTTTTTTTACTTTCAATGATTATTCTAGATATAAGTTTTATCTTAATTTATTATTGTTTTCGACTCGCAATGAGTATTTTTAACTTATCATAGTATAAGGTTTTTTTTTTTAACATGTTCGGTTACAAAGTTGTAAAATATGTAATTTATATATTGCCCGATAAAAGCACGATATAAACCCGAAGCCCGAAAAAATAAGTGAGCCGAGTTTGAGCCTATAAGCACGAGGCCCGATGGTATATGAGTTTGAGCCGATCCAAGCTCGGCTCACATGGCCCGATTGCCAGCCCTAACTGTCATTAACGGTTAATTATACTGTCACTGACAGTACATTAACATAATTATACTGTCGTTGACAGTACATAATGTAATTGTATTGTCGTTGACAGTACATTTATGTAATTGTACTGTCGTTGACAGTACATTTAGGGCATCTTTGGTTGGGTGGTTTGGATAGATAGCTATGGATGGGATATAGTATACTGGGACTAAATTGTTGATTCACAATGAGTAATCCATTATTTGGTTGGAGTTATGGGGAAGAAACTAATAATACCTGCACTAACAATATCATGTTTTGTTTGGGTGATAACACTGTTTTATATGGGTTTTTGAGGTAAATTACTGGTTTGCCCTTATAATATTTTTTTTAATCAATCGATTATCTTTCCTTATTGACCAATACTTCTCCCTCTTCTTCATTATGTGGGTACAGTTTTCTGCAGAAGAAACCCCTAAATTCCCCTAAAAAAAATTTTCTCCCCTGAAACTAGATTATTGTGAGCGGGTGTATGTTCATATCTCGTAATGAGCTACAACAACATTAATTCTCGAAAGAATTCGAGTAACAAAACCGCTGAAGAATTCGGTTCATATGGGATGCAGCACGATGTCAGTGACTACGGCAATCAGCTACGCTTACAAACTTCTTGGACTTCTGCCAACCCAGGTCACCGTTTTCTTTCTTGCGCAGAGCGGATATGCATCCAAACCCCAATTCATTTCATTCTTGTTCTTGTTTCTTGGCTATTAGTGCGTTCACTATTTTTCGATTTTGGTATAGATTTTAAATTAAACCCATATTCAATTGTAATTCAGAAAACTATTAAATAAAACTATTTTTAAAGGAAGATTCGTACCAGTTCATATACACTAGAAACTATATGTAAAATTCTCATTGTTCATAATACATGTTGAGCAAACCAACAAAAAATACCACAATATAATAATAAAAAAAGAAAATTAAAATCCTCAGATTGAATTCAATAATAAAGACCCGAGTTCGGACAGAGATGTAAGAAAACATTACTTTCAAAGTGCAACATTCACTGTTCGTTCAATCATGAAATAAGCAAAAATTTACACAGGACTATCAACATTAAATTAAAACAAAAAAATGGACAATTAAATTAAAACAAGAGATGAAACAAGAGAGCAAGAGTGTTTGGTTGGTTACCTTGACATCTTGAGAATGGAGGACAAAGTCTTTGTTTTTCAGCCATCTTTGACGAAGCTGGGCGATGGTGAACAAATTAATTTGTAGGACAAATCAATTTGTTAAGCAAAATGAAACCCATATTCATTTGCAATCCTGAAAACTATAAAAGACCTTCAAAGTTTGACTTTAGCACCAGAAGGAAGAAAAGAACAGAAGAATGGAACGAAATTGAAAGGTATGATTTTTACCTGGAAAAAAAAAACTAGGGCACAAGATATGAATGGGGAAGATGAAGATTATTCAGTATTTATATCTATTAATTTCGTAATTGTGGTTTTTTTGATAGATATTTTCGATATTTCACATGGCTTACAATATGGGATTGAATATGTGATAATTAGTCAAGCCAATTTTGGCTTGACTAACAATAATTCGATTGGGGGATTAAATCTGTGGGCCCAACTATCAAGGATGGTAAATCAACCAAACCAAACGTTGTACAAATTGGTACAACCCGTCCCATCCCTTGTAATACCCCCAACCAAAGATGCCCTTAGAGTCAGCGACAATATTATTATTTTTTTGGCTTTTAATTTTATTTTGTTTGATTTGTTGACAAGTCAACATAATTATATTACTGTCGTTGACAGTAAAATAACTGTAAACATAATAATATTACTGTCAAGTGTCAACCACATCAATATTATTATTTTTTTGGGTTTTTTGTTTTGTTTGAGTTGTTGACGGAGTAACGTATTAATATTGTTGTCTACTATTGTAATATTATTGTAAACACAATATTATTACTGTGGTTGACGGTAATATTATTGTTGTTACAGTAGTATTACTGTCAACCACATCAATATTAATTTTTTTGGCTTTTTATTATGTTTACATTTGTTGAACGGTCAACATATTATTATTATTCTATTACTCATTGTGTTAATATTATTGTGCTAGAGATTAATATAGCAATATTACCGTGTTAAACTGTTGTATAGTTAATATTGTTGTGGTCAAGGTTGTAAAAAGCGGTAATCGGGTCAAGGGCGGTTAGGGACCGACTCACGATTAATCGGTGCAGCGGTGATTAATCGGAAATAAATCGGTTTTTAAAATTTAATATAATATATTTCTACATGTTACTTATAAATACTCAAACATATATAAAAAGATATTTAAACATAATTATATCTCTATCATGTATATATCCTAATAACATAATAAAATTTTAATAATAAGAAGATCATAATACATAGATATCCTTGTAAAATATAAATAAAAGGCAATTTTTTTTGAATTTACATTTATTCTTGAACATTCATGGCATACATCATTAGTTCTTTAACAATAACAGTTAACATAAAAAAATAAAGCATAAACTCATTTTTTATATTAAAATCTCAACTTTTATTTTGAATTTAAAAAAAAGACCGATTTTTGACACCGAAGTTTGACCCGCCTTAAAGGTTTGACCGTTTGACCGCCTCAGACCGCTTCTGACCACCTCGGACCGCCTCAACCCGCCTCCAACCGCCTCAAACCGGCTCACAGGCAAAAAACCGATTTTTCAAACATTTACACTAAAATCGTAAAGGTATTGGATCACCTCCGCCTAGGAGACCGATTAATCGGCCGCCTCGGCCGATTTTTAGAACACTGGTTGTGGTTGATAGTAATAAAGTTTATATTACTGTCAACCACAACAATATTGCTGTTTAAATGGTGGCAAACAGATGTTAAAGAAAAAAAATCAGAAAAAAATAAATAAATAAAAAATCGAAAAAGTCAACGCCGGAGACCGGTGGAAAAATCAGGAAGGAAAAAAAGATTCGAAAAAGTCAAAGCTGGAAACCGGTGTAAAAATCAGAAAGAAAAAAAAAGTCAACGTCGGAGACTGGTGGTCAACGGCGGCGACGGACGAAATTGTACTCAAAATTGTGTTTTGGGTCAAAATTGAATAATTTGTGAAAATTTGGGTCAAATTAAGGTTAAATTAAATTAAAGAATGAAATTGTAGAATATTAAAATGTGAGGGGCTGTTTTAATATTATTTCGTGAACATATAATCATTAAATTATATTAAAAAAAATCATTAAATTAGTATTACTATTAGTTATTGGGCGAATATTAATATCTTTTAGTAATAGAGCTTTTAGCAAGCGTACCCCTGTCTTATGTTTAATTGCCGAAAAATTCCTATATAAAAATAATTAGTATTTACCCTCCCTATATTACTAAGTCAAAGGCACTAGCCCCACTATCACCAAATCGTGTGATGCACGCGACGTTAGTGCGGTTTGTTGTTGTTATTTTGACCTGAAAAGTCAGAAATATCCCTTAAATTTAAGAAGAAAAAATATAATAAAAAGTAAAAACCCATCATCATCTTTGGCCCTCATCAACGACATCGCCAAAATTAGCGCTGATTTTTTCGAAAAAAAAAGCAAGAACAACAAATTTGTTCCTACCTTTTTTTTTTATTTTGTTTAGTTTCTAATTTTATGGCCGAAAAGGGGACTAACAAGTTATATAGTCAAATTAGGATTTTGGAATGAGAATTTTGGTTTGAGAGGTTGGGCAATTCCAGATCTGAGACGTTGCATTTCTTTATTATTATTTTTATTTAATTTATTTATTATTATTTTTTTGTATTTTGATTGTTATGAAATGAAGATGGAAATAATCATAACATAAAATAATTAGTATTGGAGTTTAAGATTTATTTATATTGCGTTTTGGATTGTTTTATTTTTAAATTTATTTATAAGTTCCTAAAAATCCAATAAAATTAAAATTAAAATTAAATTTATTCAAAAATATAAAGTAAATATAAATATTACAAATATACAAATTATAATAATTTAAGTAGAGTTATTTTTTATATACAAAATGAAGATATGTATATATATATATATAATGTTGTAAAATTAGTTTTTTTTTTCTTTTATTACATAATACAAATTGGCTTTTGTACGTATTTTTACTTTATTTCTTTTTAGGGGTACTCTATCCATTCAGTGCAGTCAGGCCCGGTTCTGAGGGAAGACGACCAAGGCGGTCACCTAGGGTCCCCGATTTTTTACGAATTTTAGGGGCCCCCAATTCTAAAAAAACAGTGCTTATATATTAATATTTGTTGATAATATATATTTAAGGGCCCTTATTAAAAGAAATTATAACCATATAAATAATTTACACTTATTTTTTAAATATTCTGTAAATATAAATTAAGAATTCAAATCAATTTTTTTCATAGTAAAAGATTAATCTTTCTTTTTGTTTATGTTACTTTTTTTTCAAGTAGTACTAGTAGTCATAACCATGGTTGTCAAATCGTAAATCGAATTGAAAATCGTTTTATCAAAAATGTGAATCGTAAATCGTAAGATTTAAAAAAATATATTAATATTAATATATCCATAACATACTATTTTTCAGCAGAAATCATGTTGCATATAATAAAAATCCATGTCATTTGTTTCTTTAAACATGGACTTTTCAACACAACAAAACCACAAAAAGTGTAATACAAAAATAGTATTGCTAATGTCATTAATCACTTGTTCGTCTTTTTCTTTTTCCAGGAATTTCACCAACATCATCTTCAACAAAATTTCCATCATCCTCATAATCTTCTTTCGTTTTTTGACTTTCCAGATAATTTAAAAAATAATTTCGAATTTCTTCAGAACATTTTGTACATAGTTCAACATTTTTTCTAGTTCCTGCTAAATGATCTTACTCGCATGTTTCCTTCATCAATCTTTTGGTAATGTTTCCATCCTGGATCACTGCTCTTGCTTTTCTTCCCCTTTGATTTCCCCATAAGAAATCTGCAAAATAATGATAATATACAAAATTTAAATATATATATTTAGAAGAATGTGCAAAGTGTAAAATAATTAATTACCTGTGTAACTTGGTTGAAGACCAATGCAAGAAGAAGCCCTAGGCCTATCCTAGCAGCTTTGACGGGCAGATGGTGAGAGTGGGATGATTTTTCTTCCTTGAATTTTGCTGAGAGAAGAGAGAATCAAGGAGAATGGCAAAAGACAACTTTTGTGGTTGGAAAGTGGGTCTTCTAGAAATCGCTTCATAATTTAATAATATATAATATATTAAAAATATAAAGCAAATCTGAGCAAATCGCACGATTTGGGCGATTTACCAACGATTTAAACGATTTGGTTACGATTTTTTTAATTTTTCGATTTATTCACCGATTTGAATCGAGTTGAGTCTGAATCGAATCGAATCGGACGATTCAAATCGTGAATCGTTCGATTTTAACAACCATGGTCATAACTATATTATTTGAAATGCTAACATATATTAATTTTGCCTATTTATTTGTTTCTTAGATGTTTTAAATCTTTATAGTTTTGTTTCATCTTAATATATTGTCCCATAAAATATAGTATGTACTTATTTTTATTTTAATGTAAATGTTAGTTAATAGTTTTAAGCAAATTCTAAATTTTACTATGAATCAAATATACTATGGGTGAGGGGCATACCAAAATTAAAAAAAAGTAGTTTTCGATAATATTTTATAAATATAATATTTTTGCCCCCATTATTGTTTTGTTTAATTAGTTCACACTCTTTTATAAATTTATTAGGTTTATTTTATGTTTAATAAAAAATATTATATTTAAAACCCTATAGATATTTTTACTAAAATTTGGCATTTTTTCACGATTACCTCTAGATAAAATCGGGGGCGATGCCCCGAACCCCCAACATTATAACCTACCCCGCCATATTATTTCCGGAAAAAAAAAAACCGTTGCCCCAACTAGGGGGCCCCATTTCAACAATGTCTACGAAGTTCGCCTTGGACCCCCGAAATCCTAGGAACGGGCCTGAGTGCAGTCAACGAGCTCTTTTTGGATAGGGTTCGGTGGGCTAACTAAAGTCTATCATAGGGTGTATATACTAATTGTTTTAAGGGCGAATGGCAAAAATGCCCATCACATGGGACTTAAATGCATTTTGGTCCATAAAAAAAATAGTCTCTTAATTAAATCCATCCTCATGTCTTTAGTCTAAAATACCCTCCATAATATAATTCTTATCAATTCCACCCATTATGCTCTAACTTCCTTAATATGACACATTGACCCCGGATTTAAACAAATATATCACATTAACCCCCAAGTTTTCTTTTTTTCAGAAAATAATTTTTTTTCTGAAATGTTTTTTTTTTCGGCCAGATTCCGGCGTTGACCGTCGGAAACCGGTCGGAAACCACCATTCTCCGGCGTTGACTTTTTTTTTTTTTTTGCAAACATTTTTTTTCCTGAATTTTTTTTTCCGGCAGGTCAACCACCGTTGACCGCCGGTCTCCGGCGTTGACTTTTTTTTTTTTTTTTTGAATTTGTTTTCTTAGAAAACAATATTTTATTTAATATTACTATATTGACTACTAAATTACTGTCTCAGACAGTAATATTACTGTTTGGGACAGTAATATTATGAATATTATTTTCCCGAACGGTAATATTATTGTCTAAGACAGTTAAATTACTGTTGGAGACAGTAATTTAGCAGCCATGGCAGTAATATTAATTAAAATAATTTTTTTAAAGAAAAAAATTAAAAAAAAAAAAGTCAATTAACAGTTAAGTTACTGTCACGGACAGTTAAATAACTGCTAGAGACAGTAATTTAGCAACGAATATATTAATATTAATTAAAAATATTTTTTTAAGAATAAAAAAAGTCAATTAACAGTTAAATTACTATCTCCGACAGTTAAATAACAGCTAGAGACAGTAATTTAGCAACGAATACAGTAATATTAATTAAAATATTTAAAAAAAAATCAATTAACAGTTAAATTACTGTCTCCGACAGTTAAATAACTGCTGGAGACAGTAATTGAGTAGCAAAGACAATAATATTAATTAAAATATTTTTGAAGAAAAAAAAAATCAATTTACAGTTATATTACTGTCTCCGACAGTTAAATAACTGTCGGAGACAGTAATTTAGCAGCCATGACGGTAATATTAATTAAAATATTTTTTTTAAGAAAAAAAATTTATATAAAAAAAAAAAAAAAAAGTCAACGTCGGTCAACGGCGACGACCGGCGGTCTCCGGTGGTGGCGGGTCAAAATTGGGGTCAAATTTGAAATTAGGGTTAAAATTGGTTAATAGATGAAATTGGGCTAAATTGGGGTGTAAAACATGAAAATTGGAGTTGAAATGGGTTTTAATGAATTTGGGGTAATTTTGGTATATTTAAAGGGATTTTCCTTATTTGCAAATAAGTTTGAATGGGCTGAATTTATTTGAAAGACAAAAAAGTTGGATGTCCCTCTTTTAATTAAGTGGCCTTCTCATGGGCCTATTTGCCATTTGCCCTTGTTTTAATACATGGACTTTTACAGCAATTAGACATTTCATGGGGGTCGTATGCAATTAACTCTTCAGTAATATCATTAAGGGATTTTTGTGCATAAGTCCCTAACCAACCATCATTATTATTATATGTTTAGGGGTTATATCTCTTTCGCCAATAAGCTCATCCCTTTAATATTTATTATAAATAAAGGAAAAATTCATGTATATGACAAAATTTACCCCAACCCTTTATACCAAATTCTTAATTGTAACCCCAATTTAATCAATTTTGACTACAAAAATCCAATTTTGACTATCTTTTTTTCAAAAATTGTTTTTTTGGTCTGTTTTTCCGCCGCGGATTCCGGCGTTGAATTTTTTTAGTGGTTTTTTTTTAAGTCTGCCGCTAAACGTTGACCGTAATTATGCTGTCATTAACTGTAATTATACTGTCACTGACAATAAATTAACGTAATTATACTATCACTGACAGTAAATTAACGTAATTATACTATCACTGACAGTACATTAACCGTACTGCCGTTGACAATATATTTATGTAATTGTACTTCCGTTAAAAGTACTATTAGAGTCAACATCAATATTTTTTATTTTTTTTTGTTTGATGTGTTGACAAGTCGGCATAATTATATTACTGTCATTGACCGTAAAATAACTGTAAACACAGTAATATTAATGTCAACTACATCAATATTATTATTTTTTTGGGTTTTTTTTGTTTTGTTTGAGTTATTCACGGAGTAACGTAATAATATTACTATCTATTATTGTAATATTATTGTAAACACAATAATATTATTGTTGTTGACGGTAATATTACTGTTGTTATAGTAATATTACTGTCACACAAAGTAATATTAATTATTTTGCCTTTTTTTTTATGTTTACATTTGTTGAACGATCAACATATTAATATTACTCTATTACACTAGAATAATGATTTTTGTTGTGTTAATATTAGTGTGCTAGAGATTAATATAGCAATATTACTGTATTATCATGTAGTATAATTAATTTTACTGTGTCTAACAATAATATAGTTAATATTACTGTCAACCTCAACAAGTGAACGCCGGAGACCAGCGGAAAAATCAGGAAGAGGAAAAAAAATAAAAAATAAAAAAATAAAAAAAGTCAACGTCGGAGACCGGCGGTCAACAGCGGTGACGGACGAAATTGTCCATAAAAATGTGTTTTTGGTCAAAATTGAATAATTAGTGAAATTTAGAGTCAAATTGAGGTTAGATTAAATTAGATGATGAAATTGGAGCATATTAAAATATAAGGAGTTATTTTAGTCTTTTACAAACCTCTGGACCATGTATGAATTTTTTTTTAAAAATTTATTGTTTGGACCCCTTTAAGAATAAGTACTTATTGATGGACTTATTTGTAAATTGCAATCATTAAATTAGTCAAATTTGGGGCTGGTTTGCATTTCATTCCTACCGCACAACATGAAGATTTGCTGAGTAAAAAAATGTGTAAAAGGAATTGTTTGTGACTCCAAAAAAAAAAAAAGAGTTGTTGGGCCCTGAAAAATCTAGGGCACGGATTGTGCATTAAATACTGCACACTTAATAACCAGTACAATTATAAAACCTAAGTAGGACAGACGAGGAAGAAGATCGGCCGAGAGGTAAAAGATGAGTTCCGTGCTCCGATTGATATCAAGAAAAGTAACATGCAAATCACTAAATCATGTGGCATCAATTGGATTTCTGAACCGGTTCAGCACTAAGGCCGACCAACTCATATCTCCAAAAATATCACCACCATGGCTGATGCTACCACCATCCACGGAAAGTTATAACTTCTATAGCCTTGCGCAGAATAAAGTTGTAAGTTTGAGCAAAGTAGAAGAATCCCATTATGATGATTATTCAGTGGCCTTGGGATCCTCCCATGGCTGGCTAGTTTTGCTTAACAAACGAAACTGCGATTTGCTTCTCTCGAACCCCGTTTCTAATCGTCATATAAAGCTTCCTCCAATCCACATCCTGCCCATTCCCAAATCAGACTTGAGACGATGCTTGGGTTGCGTCTCCAAGGTTATCATCAATTGCTCTCCGGATGATCTAAACTGCCGCGCGGTGATGATCTTCGGCCCGTCGAATAGACTGGCTTTCTGCGTGCCCGGTCACAACACCTCCGGTTGGACCCCAATCGGTGCTACTACATACAAAGACGAAGAGGGACGTAATATCGCAAGGGAATACGAGGACGTTGTTTACTCCACCACGAAACATTTGTTCTTCGGCGTCACTAAATCCGGCGATTTTGAGGCTTGGGATCTCCGCGACCCTCTCGCGCCAAAAATGACTCTCCTTAACAAGGAAGGAAACAATCGTGTGTACGAGAGGAGTTACGTGTGTAAATCGGACAAAGAGCTGCACCTCAAAATGATGTGCGAGCCGCTACAACATCTAGTCATGGCCCCCACACCGAATAACTCTGGTGGCGGCGGCGAAGAACAAGTCCTCCTTGGTTTGAATCGTTATGTAATGATACAAGTAAGGCCCGACGGTTCGTATGTCGACGACCACGAACCACGTGATAACGGAATTAAATATCCCTACATGACTATTGCTTTTGACGTTCACAAATACGACGTGGACGCTGATTCGGTTACGTACATGGACGGTTCATTGGACGGTCTTTCACTATTTGTCGGTGGCAACCATTCTTTTGCCTTGCCGGCGGCCGGTGACTACCCGGAACTGAAGCCGA